TCTTGAAAAATTGTAGTTATTTTTGATTGGTTCATCTTTTAGTCTTTCTACTTAAGATATAAGTAGTTTACACATGACAATTATGGTGTTTTACTATTCTGTCTGTGTATTATTACCAGTGAGTTTTGTTCCAAAGAAATAAGACAATTTCTTATCACTCATTAATGTCCTTTTCTATCACATTGAAGAACTCTCTTTAGCATTTCTTGTAGGGTGAGTCGGGCATTGAAATCGCCCAGCTTTTGTTTGTCTAGTTAAGTCTTTATTTCTCCTTCATGTTTGATGGATATTTTCAGTGGATATACTTTCTAGGAGAAAAGTTTTTTTCTTTTGCACATTAAATATGTCATGCTCTCCTCGCTTATAAGATTTCTACTGAGAAGTCTGCTGCCAAATGTATTGGAGCTCCTTTGTATTTTATTTGTTGCTTTTCTCTTGTTGCTTTTAGGATCATTTCTTTATCCTATCCTTGGGAGTTAGAATATTAACTGTCTTGAAGTAGTCTTCTTTGGGTTAAATCTGCTAGGTGTTCCATGACCATTTGTACTTGAATATTTATACCTTTCTCTAAATTTGGAAAGTTCTGTTATTACTTTGAATACACTTTCTACCTTGGTATCTCTACTTTAAGACCAATAACTCTTATATTTGATCTTTTGAGACTTTTTGTTTATTCAGGATACTGTAGGTGTGCTTCATTCCTTTTTATTCTTTTTTTGTCTCCTCTGATTCTGTATCTTCAAATATCCTGTCTTCAAGCTCAGTAATTCTTTCTTCTGCTTGATCAATTCTGCTATTGAGAGACTCTGATGTATCCTTCAGAATGTCAATTTTTCAGGTCCAGAATTTCTGCTTGACTTTTAAAAATTATTTAAATCTCTTTGTTAAATTATGTGATAGGATTCTGAATTCCTTCTCTGTGTTTTCTTTTCATTGAGCTTCCTCAAAATGGCTATTTTGAATTCACTGCCTGAAAGTTTACACATCTTTATCACTCTAGAATTAGTTACTGGTGATTTAGTTCATTTGGTAAGGTCATATTTACCTGTATGGTCTTGATGCTTGTGTTGATGTCTGGGCAGTAAAGAGTTAGGAATTCTAGTCTTCACAGTATGTGCTTGGTTGTACCCATCCTTCTTGGAAAGGTTTTCCCAGTCTTCAAAAATAATTTGAATGTTCTAATCTAAGTCTTTGGTCACTGCAGCCACATGTACATTAGGAGGCACCTGGGCCCAGGAACACTGTGACTCTTGCAGACTTGTAGAGGGACTGCCTTGGTCTTGGGGAAATATCCAAAAGAATGTCCTGGTCTACCAGGCAGAGACTCTGTTCTCTTCCCTTACTTTCCCCCCAGCAAATGGTCTCTCTCTCTGTGCTGAGCTGCCTGGAGCTGAGAGAGGGGTGGACACAAGCACTCCTATGGCCACCACCACTATGACTGTGCTGGGTCATACCTGGAGCCAGCACAGTACTGAGTCTTAGCCAATGCCAATGGTGATCATTGTTTGGTTACCGCTGATGTCCACTGAAGGCTCAAGGGCTTATTCGGCAAGTGGCTAATCCAGCTAAGCTTGTGTCCTTCCCTTCAGATTGGTGAGCTCCCCCATGCCAGACCAGAGTGAGTCAAGAAATGCCATCCAGGAGCCAGGGCCTGGAGTTAGGAATCTTAGCAATCTACTTCGTGCTCTATTCTACAGCAGCTGAACTGGCACCCAAGGTACAAGACAAAGTTCTTCCTACTCTTTACTCAGGCAGAGTCTCTCCCCATGGCTACCACCGTCCTAGGCCTGTGGTGAGTGCTGCCTGGCTACCACCGATATTCACTCAAGACCCAAGGGCTCTTCAATCAGTTTGTGGTGAATGCTGCCCAGGCCTAGTTCTCTCCATTTAGTGTAGGGGACTCCTCTCTGACCCGGGGTGGGTCCAGAAATGCCATCTAGGCACTGGCTCCAAGCCCAGCATGGTACAGGACTTGCCCAGGACCCTCAGTCTTTGTGGCCTAAACTGCCTTTCAAGTTTATTTAGAACCCCAGATCACTTTAGCCTCTGGTGCTGAGACTATTCGGAGATCTGATTCTGACCACTGGGATGGATGATTCCTCTCTGGCCAGAGCTCATCTAAATGCTCCCCTCTATAGCACTGGCTGAATTCTGCCCTATGCTGTTTTCTCCTGTGACAAGTAGCACTGAGTTCCAATGCAACGTGCTATAGTCACTGTCCACTCCTTTTCCTAAGGACATAGATTTTCTCTCTGCACCAGCAGCCACTGCAGGGAGATGGGGGAAGAAACCAGGTTGACAATTCAAGACTATTTTTCCTACCCTCTTCAGTGTCTCTTTAATTGCTATGATGTTAAAACCAAGTATTGTAATTGCTCACCTGACTTTTTCGTTCTTGTTAAGGTGCTTTCTAAGTGTGGACAGTTATTTAATTTGGTGTTCCTGTTGGGATAGCTGGAGGGTTCTATTTGGCCATCTAGCTCCATCTCCTCCCTCCATTGGGTTTTTGGTTTTGTTTTGTTTTCTTGAGATGGAGTCTTGCTCTGTTGCCTAGGCTGGAGTCCAGTGATGTGATTGGCTCACTGCAGCCTCCACTTCCCAGGTTCAAGGAATTCCCTGCCTCAGCCTCCTCAGTAGCTGGGATTACAGGGACCCACCACCACACCCAGCTAATTTTTGTATTGTTAGTAGAGACAGGGTTTCACCATCTTGGCCAGGCTGGTCTTGAACTTGTGACCTCGTGATCCACCCGCCTCAGCCTCCTTAAAGTGCTGGGATTACCGGCGTGAGCCACCGTGCCCAGCCTCCATTGGGTTTTTATAGCTTTTCTTTGTTGAGAACATCTATCTTTATATTCATTTCAAGAGTGTTTATGACCACCTAATGAAACATAGCTGCCTTAAGGTCTCCATCTGATAATTTCAACATCTTAGTTATCTAAGTGTTGGCATCCATTGTCTTTTCCCTTGATAATTGGGGAATTGGGTTGAGCATGGTGGCTCACGCTTGTAACCCCAGCACTTTGGGAGGCCGAGGGGGGCAGATCATGAGGTCAGGAGTTCGAGACCAGCCTGGCCAACATAGTGAAATCCCATCTCTACTAAAAATACAAAAAAATTAGCCAGGCATGGTGGTATGCATCTGTAATCCCAGCTATTTTGGAGGCTGAGGCAAGGAGAATCACTTGAACCTGGGAGGTGGAGGTTGCGGTGAGCCGAGATCACGCCACTGCATTCCAGCCTGGGCAACAGTGCAAGACTCCATCTCAAAAATAAAAAAAATAAAAATAAATAAAATAAAATTGGGGAATTGGTTACATTCCTCCAGCTTTTTGTATATCAAGTAATTCCCGGTAATTCATATATCAAGTAATTCTGAATGGTGTCTTGAACATTTTGAATATTACATTATGAGGCTCTGATTCCTGTTAACATTCTCTGGAGCATGTTTTAAAAGCAGGTAACCATACTGATTAGATTGAACCAGTTCTGTCTCACTTTCTGTGGGAAGCAATTCCAACATTACTTCAGTTTTCAAAGCCTCTGTTACGCTGTTTTCCGTATTTCTCAGGAATCATCAGCCTGAGACTTGGTGATGGTTTATTCCTTAGTTTAGTTGTCATAGCCTTTGGCATCTGTTTTGTATCTGGTTCTGTGCATGCACAATTCAGAGGTGAGCCTGGAACTTGTGTCACTTCAGAACTAGGAGGTAACTCTTTTCCAGCTGTCACCTCTCTGGGATTTCTCCATACTCTCCAGCCACCAAGGGTCTTTTTTCTTGGTGTTCTTGCTAGAATGATGGAGCTTATTGATGACACCTGTGCTATAATTGCAGTTCTGCGACTGCAGCTGCCCCAATCTCTCCAAGAAATTAGTGATAGGAAAGAGAAAAATGTAATTCCAATTCTCCCCTCTGTCCACTTTTCCCGATTTCTCTGAATGGAAGGATGAATTTTCTCATGGGATTTTGGGTGCCCATGCTGCCACTGCCACAGGCTGCATCTTGACTAGGAGCCATCCTTAGGGCAGGGCCAGGAAAAAAAAAAAAAAAAAAAAAAAAAAAAAAAAAAAAAAAAAAAAAAAAAGCACTATTGATATAAAATGCCAATGATTTTAGAAACAGACAACTAAACTGCTATTGGTATGTGACCAAACTTGTTCAGTTTGCTTTGTGATTAGGAACAAAATACTCATCCTCCCTGCATTTCAGATTCCTTTGTATAGGGACTGGGGAATGATATAAGAACAGATGGAATTAGAGGGGCATGTGAAGAAAGACTTTAAATAATTAGAATATCATCTGGAGAGTAACATATATTCTTTCAAAAGCAGAAAGACGGAAAAGTACATGAGAATGAAAACAGGACTTTCTAAGAAAAGCTACTCAAAGATCAAAACTTATCTTGACAAATAATGCTGATGTTTTAAGAAAACTTTGTGGAACCCTAAAATTGCTTCAGGAATTTGCACTCATGGTTGGGGCACAGTGAGACTGCTAGTACATTAAGCTTCAATTTACCTTGAGTTGGGAAATGGGTGTTGTAGAGCAGGTAAGGGTACAAATCTGGAGATTTGGAAAAAGTTAATATGTAATAAAATATTATCTAAAAGAAAACAAGGTTTTCTTTGATCCCTGTTAACCCATGTCAGCATTCGGCTCTCTCTTACACCAAAAGAACAACAATGGAACAAGAATGGTCAAAGATATTTCCCAGCTCCAGAAATGTGCAGTTTAAACTAAAAGCACCTTCAAAATATAAGGCAGGTAACTGATATTAAGCTAAAGAGAAAGAAAAAAGATATTAGGAACAAAATTACAAGTCCAGGACAAAATAAAATGTAAAAAGGCACCTGAATATTTAGTATTTATTTTCCTAACATTTACTACCACACTAGCAATGTTCTGAGCACAAGCAGGAAAATCAACTCACTGAAAATAAAGAACCACCTTTTTCTACAATATTGGTTCTCTAATTAAGTTTTTCTACCCACAATTTCTAGGTCAAGAACCCAATATGGAAGGGAGAAGTGAAAAGTTGAAGAAAAGTCCACACATTGCATGAAATAGAATGTGAAAGCTCCTTTGTGTATCCTGGTAATTTATATTTCAAAAGAAAACCATACTCTTAAAAAGAATTACCTATATTCTCTTGATCCTGATTTCCAAGTCACTCACTTGAACACCAGAATTAGAATTAAACATTGTACCATACAATTTCATTATCTTATCAGAATGAAACCAATTCACAGGGAAACCAGAAGACTATGGCTGTGGTGGTAACCTGCAGATATACACATTCCCATGCACTGACATAAGCTGAAAACACATAGTACTTTCTAGATGGAGGTTTTCTCTTTATTTAGGCCTCAATTAAATATATTTCCTCTATACAATTCCCACAGCAGTTTCTCTAGTTCTAAATTCTACTAATTCCCAGAAAACCTAAGTTTTGTTGAAATCTGATTTGACTAATTTATCAAATATGCATTTTAATTACCTAGCTGGAAGTTAGAGACATGAAATGTACTAGGAGAAGCCCTTTCCAATGGAAATACTATATACCACATTTTTTTGTTAATGGAAATAAATGTATCCATTCCCATGTTTCTTCCTGATGTCATCTTTTTGCAGTTCAAAATCAACCCATTACTTCCTCACAAAGATGGTGAAAGTCTGTTTTGTAAAAACAGAAAAAGTCTGTTTCATCTTGTTTTGTAAGTATGGTAAGCCTGATTATAAATACTCAAGTTTTTAAAAATACAGAACCATCAGCCCCAGACTACATCTACTGAATCAAAATCACAGGGATTTTTTTTCATAATTTTTTTTCTTCAAAAGCTAGCTTTTAAATTGATTTTGATGGTTATTCAATTTGGGAATCACACAATCAACTATAAATGAAAAGATATAGTCTATATTCTACAGAGGAAAGAGTTTGTGAGACAGAAGGAGAAAATAGCCATTGACAAGTCAAGGAGAGAGGCCTCATGGGGGGTAAAAATCAACCTAGCCAAAACCTTGAACATCTAGCTTCTAGAACTGTGAGAAAATAAATTTGTGTTCTTTAATCCACATGGTGTGTGGTATTTGTTATGAGAATCCTAGCAAATGAATTCAGTGAGTTCTCTAGGATTCCTAAAAATATGCAGAGTTCTCTCAGACTTACTGAATTATGATTTCAGGGGTTGGGGAGGGGGGCTGGGGCTGGTCCAGAAATCTGTCTTTTAAGCACACACCACAGGTCATTGCTATACATAACAGATTTGAGAACCAGTACTTTAAGATTTACTGTATTATGAAGATAAATAATCTGTGTAGCAATATATGCAAAATCAAATAAGGCTTTCTTTTAAATGGAAAGGCAGTGTCAATTAATTAGGAATCATAAATAAGATAAGAGTTGGGACATAAAGCCTGAGCATTTAATATAAGTATTTATTGAAATGTATTGAGTATTTATATAAATCACTGTGTTAACTGATGTAAAAATTACAAAAGCAGCACATATATATTATTCTCAAGGGTTTTCCAATTGAGTTGGTCAAAATATAGATAAGAGACTAAAGAGCTCTAATTTCTTACCATTTCAAAATGTTGAGTGAATTCTTGCAGTTACTAGGAAATCAGGGTGTTTAATATAAAAAAAAAACTTTTAAAAAGTAGATTCCTAAAGTTGGTGAGGCATTGTGGTTGAATGCAATAAATGGAAAAGTAATGGTCAAGGGAAACAGAAATCAAAGCCCAGGGCCTGACCAATGAGAGTGTCTCACAGGAGACCAAAAATACGTTTATCTATAAGGAACAACAGAAACAGAGCCACAGGCATTTCAGAAATTGAAACAATGCAGACAAAGACCGTAAAACAGCCCTCAGAGTTTAAAGAACAAACATATTAGAAAATATCTGCAGGGAATAAAAAACTGTAAAAGTGATCTAGCAGGTTTTAAAAAGAGAACCAAACAGAAGTTTTAGGAGTGAAAAATAAAATAACCACCACCACAATAACAAAACAGATGACTTAAGTAGATAAGAAATAGATGAAGAGGTAAGTAAATTGGAATATGGGTTAAAAGAAATTTATACAGAGTAAAGCATGACAAGAAAGAACAACTGGAAAATATAGAAGAGAGGGTGATAAACACTGAAGGTCTGTCATGTTTAACGAGAATCTCCATAGAAGAGGAGAATACAGTGGTTACATGTGAAGGAATAGTATCTGAGAACATCTCCAGAACTAATAATGAAGACTCAAATCCAGATTTAAAGAGCTCAACAAATCTTAAGCAGGATTAATAAAAAGAAATTCATACCCAGTCATATAGTAATTAAATTGGATAAAACCAAAGCAGATAAAAAAAAAGACATTTCTTTAAAGGTATAAGTGTTAGCATGACAACTGACTCAAAAGCAAGAGAGGAAGTAATGAGAGAATGAAAAAATGTCTCCAATGTGCTGAAAGATAATAAAGGCCAAATTAGGCATCTATAGTCAACAATATATTTGCAGAATGAAGAAAAATACAGATATGTTCAGAAAACAAATAATCAGTTAAGTATGCTACCAGCAGACTCTCACAAAATGAAATTCTAAAGTAAGTTCAGATAAAAATTTATTCTAGATGGTGTTTTAGTCCATTTGGGTTACAGTAACAAAACATGATAAACTGGCTTATAGGTGACAGAAATTTATTTCTAGGAGTTGGAAAGTCCAAGATCAAGGCACTGGTACATACAGTGTCCTGTGAGGGCCCACATGAGATGGCTCAAAGATGGCACCTTCTTGCTGTGTCCTCATCCAGTAGAGGTGAGAGGTCTCAGAGCCTCTTTTATAAGGGCTCTGCCTCCATGACTTAATCACCTCTCAAAGGCCCTATCTCCACATTACATTACCTTGAAGATTAGAAATTCAACATATAAATTTGGGGAAGACATAAATGTTCAGCCTATAGCAGTAAATCTTAGATACAAAAAATAATGAAGAGCAAATACAGTTATATATATGTATGTATAAATACAAACACTGACTACATAAAAAAACTTAGAATCAAAGAACATTAAAGTACATAACAGAATTAAGACACATAATACATATAGAATATATGACAACAGTTTGTAACTTGGAAATTAAAGAGTTGCTCTAGTTATTATATCTAGATAATAAATAACTCTAAAACTTAGTTGCATAAACAAGCCATGTTCATGGACTCACTGGGTCAGGAGTTTGGCAGAGCATAGCAGAGCACAGTAAGAATGGCTTGTTTCTGCTCTGTGAAATCTAGGGCCTGGAATCATTTGAAAGTTTGCCTACTCACATGTCTGACACCTGATGCTGCCTACAGGCTGGGAGCATCAGATTTTCTCCATCTGTACTAGTTTGAGCTTCCACACAATATGGTGTCTAGGTTCCAAAGGTGAGGTTTCCAAGAGAGAACAAGTAAAAGAGTGAGATAGAGCCAAGAGGAAGCCAGCTACATATCCTTTTATGACTGACCTCAGAGGTCTTAAGGGGACTACAGTGTAGTAAGCTTCTAGAAGAGTATGTAGCGTTGAAAATATTGCTGTAGCCATTTTTGGTAAATATAACTTGCCAAAAGGTAAATCTAATGATTAACTTTAGTCTTAATTTGAATATGTATGATAGAATATAGAGTAATTATTAAAAGACAAACTAGTAAAGAGAAAAAAATGTGTATTGCTCAAGGAAGACACACCATATCATCTATTTTTAGAAAGAATTGGATTGGTAAAGGAATTGGTAAACAGGTTTTGAGAGAATTGAAAATGTCCACTAGGGACACAATTATTAAAGACAAAAAGATGGAATTAATAGAACCTAGAAGCCTTTAAGAGATAACCTGCAGAATGCCAGAGAAAAGTTGGAGTCTGGAAAGCAACCCCAGCTGCTAAAACAAGAGCCATTGCTGAGGTGATGCTGACAATATTGGGAGGCTAATGAGAAGGGGAAAAGTCTCTTTTCCATATCCTAAGCATTCTAGTCTCCTAGTACTCTTTCTTTATGGGACCTAAAAACAAGCCAGATGCCAGAGGAAAAGCACAGCTTGCAAAAAGTTCCAGCCACAAAGCCCTAGAATACAGATACGTGAGTCTGGAGTTGAGAGACAATCAATAACTGGCAAAAACAGAATAGCATAATAAGTCAATACTAATTTTAAAAGGCAAGAAAAGAGAGAAAAAGAATCACAAAATAGGTTAGACAAAAACCTAATCCCTAATCGAAAACAAAAATCCTAATCTGTCCTAATACAAAATAAAATGGCAGAAACAAATCTAAATATATTGGTAATTATATTAAATGCACATGGTGTAAGTGTTCCAATTAATGACAAAGATTATTCTATTAGATTAACAATAATAATAATAAAAGCCAGGTGCAGTGGTACACATCTGTATTCCCAGCTACTTAGGAAGCTGAGGCAGGAGAACCACTTGAGCCACCGCACTTTGACCTAGGCAACATAAGAGGGACCCTGGATCTAAAAATAAGCAAAACAAAAAACTCCATTAAAATCCTGAATCTATTTTGTTTACTAGATACACATTTAAAACATAAGAATACAGAAAGTTGAAAAGTAAACAGATGAAAGAAGTTACTCTGAAAATACTGACTAAAGGAAGGCTGGTATAGCTATAGAGAAAACAGACTTTAACGCAAAACATTACAGATACACGCATAGTGATAAGATATAATTCATCAGAAAAATGTAACATGTTAAACAATCTACATGCACTTAATAGTTATCTTCAAAATATATAAAACACATACAAGGAGAAAGAGGCAAATCAAGATCATAGTAGGTGATTTTATAACATACTTCTTTCAGTAATTGATGTAATAGGTATATTAAAAATCAGTAAGGATAGAGAAGATTCAAATAACACAATTAACAACCCTAAAAGATACATCAGATGGCTTGTTTTTAGTTTTTGGGTCCCACAAATAAAAACTACTAGGTGTCTAGAATGCTGAAGATATGAAGAAGAGACTTTTCCCTTCCAACCGTCCCTAATGACTACAGAATATACTGTTTTCAAATGCATAAAAATTATTTTAAAATTTACTATATCCTGGGACATAAAGCAAGCCTCAAGTAATTTCAAATAATTAAAATCAGAAAGATTTTTTTATGACAAAAATTCAATTAAACTGCATATCGAAAAACATAATTAAAAAAGCCCATGTCTGGAAAAAAAGAAATATTCTCCTACAAGAGTTTTGAAAATTCTAATGAAAATTAGGAAAATATTTTAACTAAATATGGCCATTATGTATCAAAATTTGTGGAATATGGCTGTAAGCTGAGTATAATGTAACTATATTACATTAGTATAGAGATGTTTTAAATGTATATGTTGAAAAGGAAGACAAGTTGAAAATGAAAAAAGTAACCCAACTCAACGTTAGAAACAGAATAGTAAAAAATACCCTAATAAAATAGAAAGAAATAATATTGATTAAAGCAGAAATTAATGGAATAGGAAACATGCTATAGAAAGGATCAACAAAACTAAAATTTGGATCTTAGAAAAGATTTAACTGTTTTTATTTGGAGTTAAGGTTATGTAGAAATTTTTTTAAATGGCCTGGG